AGGGGTTCAGGGTGTGGGAGGGGTTCTGGGCTGGGGCAGGGGATTGGGGTGTGGGAGGTGGTGAGGGCTCCGGCTGGGAGTGCGGGCTTTGGGGTGGGGCTGGGGATGAGGGGTTTGGGGTGCAGGAGGGGGCTCCGGGCTGTGACCAAAGGGATTGGAGTGTGGGAGCGGACCCAGGGCTGGGGGAGAAGGTTGGGGTGTGGGGCGGGGTGCGGGCTCTAGCTGGGGGTGTGGGTTCTGGGATGGGGCCATGGATGAGGGGTTTGGGGTGGGGAGGGGGCTCAGGGCTGGGGCAGGGGGTTGGAGTATGGGAGAGGGGTGTGGGGTGCAGGCTCTGGGAGGGAGTTTGGGTGCGGGAGGGGGTTCTGACCTGGGGCAGAGGGTTGTGGTGCAGGTGGGGGTGTGGGCTCTGGCCGGGTGGCACTTATTTTAGGCGGCTCCCGGTCGGCGGCACAGTGGGGCTAAGGCAGGCTCCCTGCCTGCCCTGGCTCCGCACTGCTCTTGGAAGCAGCTGGCATATCCGGCTCCTAGGCGGAGGCATGGCTAAGCGGCTCTGCATGATGCGCACTGCCAGCGCCGGCAGGCGTCACCCCCGCCGCTCGCATTGGCCGTGGTTCCCGGCCAATGGGAACTGGGGAGCTGGCGCTCGGGGTGGGGCCAGTGCGTGGAGCCTCCCTGCCCCCTGTGCCTAGGGGCTGCTGGGATATGTTGCCACTTCTGGGAGCCGTGTGGAACCAGGGCAGGCAGAGAATCTGCCTTAGTCCCAGCGTCCCGCCAACCGAACTTTTAATGGCCTGGTCAGCGGTGCTGACCAGAGCAACCCCGGTCCCTTTTCGACCTGGCGTTCCGAGCAAAAACCGGACGCCTGGCAACCCTATGCCAGTAGCACATACCACCAGTAACACATAGCCCCAGTGCTACAGGAGCTCCATTGATTGACTGATGTGGACACTCAGAAACCTCACCACCTTCTGCTCCGAGTGCAAGGTACTTCAACATTGCTTCTCTAACATAAACACATACTAACATACATATTAAAGCACCCTACCAAAACAAAATACTCCACTGCACACACAATTCTAGCCCTGGGGAGAGGATGAGAGAAGAAGCTACATGTTTCAGATATTAGTCCTATCGCTAATGCTCTGCTGGAAGGCACTACGTTATTACAGTGATGAGCATAGTATAAGAACCTATATAGAATGCAACTGTGAGCTCCTGGGTGGAACTGAAATTGTTTGTTTTGACCTTTAAACCGCTAGATGGCTTAAGAATGAAACAGCCTAAGGTGGAAACAGCAGATGTGCTTGAACTGGAGCACCCTCTATTTAAACAGGAGGAATCTTCTACTGGGGTCTGAGGTTCCCTTATTGGAATTTTGCTTCCCCGTCAGCTTGCTTCACTACAGCACAGATTCACTGCAAAGTACATCTTTTTCATGGGGTTAGGTTGATAGGTGAGGATGTTCATTATTGTTTAAATGTGGATGGATACTTGTAATAGTAATTATAAAGCCAGACTACGCAGTTTACCAGGAGCACTCTGATTGCTTATAGTTGTTTCAGTAAATTTCAATAAATATATGTGGGCCATGCAGCATGGAGAGGAACAATTGTTCCTGAACATTGACCCCTCCATCCTTGTGTTAGTATCTGGCAACACCACAGATATCTCGCTAGATGTTCTGAAGCTGCCACAGGTGTCAAATGGCTGCAGGCAAGGGATCTTTCAGGAGTATCCCATCCCCTGCTCCCTCTACTCTCTCCTTATTGTACTTATGCTCAGTGACAAAATAGCATTCTCTCTCTCTCTTGTTTCCTACCCGCCTCCTAACATTCTTGCTTCCAAACATACACAATAGTACATATTGGGTACATGAGCAGGAGGGCCAGCACTTCCAGTGCAAGTATGCAAACTCACTTATGAATAGCTGTATTCAGATGAATAATAACTCTTCCCAAATGTTCACATGAACAAAAACATGTGACCTAAATGTTCTTGGACAAGTGAATAAAAGAGGACCTGATTAGGGTTAGATTTAATAGTGAGTTGGATTTCGTGAAGTCATTCACAACTCTCTACTCACAACAACCAGCAGGCTTGAGGAGGAGTAGAGCAGCGTCGACACACCCTCTCAACCTCATTAAAAGTCAATAGCTTCTGGCAGGAGAATGAGAAAAAAGAAAAGAAAATGCTTTTTCCCCTTTCAGCCAGTGAAGGGTGTGGGGCTTCAGATTTATCAGACACAGCTAGCCAGAGGCTGAGCTGTTCCAATAATCTTAGCCTTTGTGCGGGTAGGAATCTCAGTAGCTAGGGGGAGCAGGGGCGCTGGACTTCTCATCTGGGCATTTCCCCAGGATTTTACTCTTGGGCTTCCCCATCTGATGTATTTGCCTCTGGTAATTAGGCCTTTAGCTCCTGGTCTAGTAGACATCTGAAAGATTTTTCTATCCCTAGGTTGGAGTGTGGGAATGGGACTTGGGAACTTGGATTCTTATCCAAGAACATAAGAACGGCCATACTGGGTTAGACCAAAGGTCCATGTAGCCCAGTTTCCTGTCTTCTGACAGTGGCCAATGCCAGGTGCTCCAGAGGGAATGAACAGAACAGGTAATCATCAAGTGATCCATCCCCTGTCGCCCATTCCCAGCTTCTGGCAAACAGAGGCTAGGGACACCATTATTGCCCATCCTGACTAATAGCCATTGATGGACCTATTCTCCATAAATTTATCTAGTTATTTTTTGAACCCTGTTATAGTCTTGGCCTTCACAACATCCTCTGGCAGGAGTTCCACAGGTTGACTGTGCGTTGTGTGAAGAAATACTTCCTTTTGTTTGTTTTAAACCCGCTGCCTATTAATTTCATTTGGTGACCCCTGGTTCTTGAGTTATGAGAAGGAGTAAATAACACTTCCTTATTTACTTTCTCCACACCAGTCATGATTTTATAGACCTCAATCATATCTCTCCTTAGTCATCTCTTTTCCACGCTGAAAAGTCCCAGTCTTAATCTCTCCATTTATGGAAGCTGTTCCATACCCCTAATAATTTTTGTTGCCCTTTTCTGAACGTTTTCCCATTCCAATATATCTTTTTTGAGATGGGGTGACCACATCTGCACACAGTATTCAAGATGTGGGCGTAACATGGATTTATACAGAGGCAGTATGATATTTTCTGTCTTCTTATCTATCCCTTTCTTAATGATTCCCAACATTCTGTTTGTTTTTTTTGACTGCTGCTGCACATTGAGTGGATGTTTTTAGAGAACTATCCACAGTGACTCCAAGGTCTCTTTCTTGAGTGGTAACAGCTAATTTAGACCCCATCAATTTATATGTATAGTTGGGATTATGTTTTCCAGTGTGCATTACTTTGCATTTATCAACATTGAATTTCATCTGCCATTTTGTTGCCCAGTTGCCCAGTTTTGAGAGATTCTTTTGTAGCTCTTCGCCGTCTGCCTGGGACTTAACTATCTTGGGTAGTTTTGTATTATCTGCAAATTTTGCCACCTCACTGTTTACCCCTTTTTCAAGATCATTTATGAATATTTTGAATAGGACTGGTCCCAATACAGACCCCTGGGGGACACCACTATTTACCTTTCTCCATTCTGAAAACTGACCATTTATTCCTACTCTTTGTTTCTTATCTTTTAACTAGTTACCAGTCCATGAGAGGGCCTTCCCTCTTAGCCATGACAGCTTACTTTGCTTAAGAGCCTTTGGTGAGGGACCTTGTCAAAGACTTTCTGAAAATCTAAGTCCACTATATGCACTGGATCCCCCTTGTCCACACGCTTGTTGACACCCGCCCCCAAAGAATTCTAGTAGATTGGTGAGGCATGATTTCCCTTTACAAAAACCATGTTGATTCTTCCTCAAAAAATTATGTTCATCTATATGTCTGACAGTTTTGTTCTTTACTATAGTTTCAACCCGTTTGCCTGGTACTGAAGTCAGGCTTACTGGCCTGTACTTGCCGGGATCACCTCTGGAGCTCTTTTAAAAAATTGGCTTCACATTAGCTATCCTCCAGTCATCTGGTATAGAAGCTGATTTAAATGATAGGTTACAGACTACAGTCAATAGTTCTGCAATTTCACATTTGAGTTCCATCAGTACTCTTGGGTGAATACTATCTGGTTCTGGCGATTTATTACTATTCTGATGTTGATTTACTCCACGACCTGTGATGAAACATCAGTGTCTCAGTTTCCCCATCTGTAAAATTGTGATAATACTTGCCAGACCTACCTTATAGGGGCATTTTAAGGGTTAATTAATATTTGTGAAACAGTTTGGAATAATGGATATAAGAAACGAAAGAAATATTGCATTTTATTAAAAGGGGCTAAATGCTCCAAAATAAAAGGAGGTATGTGGTCCTGTTTTGACTTTTGCTCAAAGTTAAGTTATGATGCTTGCACTTCATAAGTACCTAACAATCAGTTTTCTAATCCATAGCTTAAATGGCATTATATGAGTCTGAAAGGAAAATGGATAAACAAGAATCTCTGAAAATAATGGCCATTTTTGTATTCATGTATAGTGTGTTTACAAATAACCTATGCGTTGTAGGTAGATTTTAGTTATTTCCCCATTTAATCAGTTATCATCTTGCCATCTTACCTGCAGTGGCTGGAAAAAAAGGCTCTTTTCACTTGATGCCATAACTGAAATAGAATTTTGAATATTGGATTTACTCCTTAAAAAAAGGTTGAAGTACTCAAAGGTTAAAAAGAATATTTAAATCTGAAAATATCTCAATACATCTTAACCTACTATTGTTACATAAAAATATACTTGCAGTTCCATAAATATGAAATAAAAGAATATTTTTAATAATCCAGTATCTTCCTCAGTTTTGAGATACATTTTTGCACTTGCCAGAGAGCTTGAAGCTATGCTGACCCTCTCTTTAATATTAATGTACTCTGACTGTATTACTCTGTTCCTTTGCCTCTGATTAATGCTGTCTGTCAATTATTTACAGATCCGGTGGTACTGTGGAAGTTCCCGGAGGACTTCGGAGACCAGGTTGGAAACATGAGATTGAACTTTTTTTTAATGTTAGAATAATAATAAAAAAGCTCTCCTACTCAGCTATGGAAAGGCAGATGCTAATGATATCAGTGAGCAAGTCTTCAGCTGATGGATTGGTAATTAGAATGCATTTGTGACAAGAATATGCAATAGTAGTTTTGAAGCATTTTACCCATAGTAGTTCCTTTTATAGATTTCACATTCTTTTTATTATATGAAATATAATGTATTTGAGTTTTTTTTATGCAGTTCTCTTTTTGTGTTGTTTAGGGTTGAAAATAAGGTACATTTCTCAACAAAGCTTTACAGTTAATCTTAATGAGACAAAAATGTGTCTCATAAAAGATATGTAAATAAACAAAAACATTTTGATATCTACTTTTAATATTGGACCCTTCATGAATAATGTTGCCATAGTAGTTTATAGCTCAACATTTTTTATTGCTTTATAAAATTACTATGCATTTTGCTTTGTAAGACAATTGATTTGCACATGCTAGTAATGGACAATGGGGTAAACCTGCTGATTATGCAAATACTGAAGCTCTAGTTTCTTATTATGAATTATTCTCAAAGGTAAACTTAGGTCCACTGTATCTAAAGGGTTATGTCCATACTTGATAGCATTAATAGCAAGTTTATTAATTAGGTACTCTGCTTAGATGGAGATAATATTTTTATTTGTAACCGTTTTTTAGTATTTCGCTATAATTTAGATGTATCTATTCTATTGAGACCATTTTTTATTTGCATAAAACGAGCTTATGTAGACACAGTTAATAGAAGAAGTGTTTCTGATGACAGAGAACACCTTTCTTTGATTTCTTTCTTATATCCATATTGAGTCAACCAAGCATTGATAGTGTCACCACAATAGATACTTAGAAATGTCTGCACAGTAGATTTTGATAAATTGGAGAAATGGTCTGAAATTAATAACACGAGATTCTGTAAAGACAGAAGGAAGATGGTTCAGGATTTAAAGGAATAGTTAGCTCACACTTTATATTTGTGTCTTTATCTGGTTGGGAGATTACCACCAGTCAAGGATCTGGAGCTTATAAGTGAGGGATGAATGGAATATAAGCAAAGTACACCATCATACCTTCTTAATCATATATCCTGCAAGTTTTGATAATACCTTTCTTAGGAAAGAATGATTGTCCCTTTTCTGGTTTAAATTCAGAAGTTTTAGGAAGGACTCACTCAAAAGAGGTTAGAAATGAAGTATGAGGACAAGTTGGAATTTAATCAGTAGGTTGAGGGTTAGTCAATGAACATTGGATGTTGAAATATGACTAGAAGATGAAGTCTACTGAAGACTGGAGGGAAACATGTAAGGGTGTAATGGATGTGGCCAACTGAATTTCAAAGGCATCTATCTGGAACCTGCCTTTGTGCACTGCACAATCTGCATTCATACCTGTCCCACAATTTGGGGAAACTAATATTCTAGTATTATATCAGCTTTCATGGAAAAATGTAAATTTCAAATCCCCTTTTATGCAGAAGTTGCCTTGAAAATGTAAATTGATCAATAGGTTTTGAAAACAAGAAGCCACTGGGATTTGCTTCTGCATGAAGGGTTCGATCCAACCAACCCATTGCAGTTAGTGAGAGCTTTCAATTGACCTCAGTAGGCTTTGGATGAAGCCCCAGAAGAGGAGACTTGGAGGATCTAAATATCGTCCACTTGCACATTTCTATTTAGATCTAGTCAGAGTATTTGTAATGAAATAAAATGAAATATAAATTAAAGTTTTGTGTGTGTGTGTGTTGGAGGGGGGGATTCACAAAAAAATTCATGCATGTTTTTCTACCCATTTTCTAATCAGCTCTGCTTTAAAAGTAAAATGTTATTCAGTTTTGAATGTATGCTAAGAAATCATCTTTCCTAAAATCCCTAGGCACTTGTGATAATAGTGAATTGGTTGCAGTTACAGAGAGTACAAAGAATTGCTTTCCTCCCATGTTGAATGCCTTGACAGCTTATTGCCTTCTCTTGCCTTTCGTGGTACAGCAAAAACTTTCTCCTGGCTATCTCACTTGCTCTGATTTTCTCATCCTTCCTCTCTTCTTATGCTCTTCCTAATCCTTATTGCTTCCTTACATCTTTTTCATCCTCTTGGTTTCACATTTTCTTTTCTACTAGCCCTATGAACAGTTTCCTATCTCCTGTTTCCCAAGAGACGTTTGCTCTTTCATATCTGGCCACTTCTGCAAATTCTTCCTGCACAGATCTTCTCACCAAAGTTGTCTCCAGGTCACTTTGCACCAGAACTATTTGGTTTTGGTTTGATTAAAAGGTCATTTCTTTGAGGCAGGAATTTTGTCATCTTATTTATTTTGTAAAGCATTCTGCATGTTTAGGGCGCCATGGAAATAATAGGCACACAATCTGAAAAAAATTCTGTCAGAGTAAACTGGTTAATTATAGTCACAGTTCGCATACGTGGGAGGAAGATGGTCCAATCGTTAGGGTGCCAGCCCAGGACTCGCTCTGCCACAGACTTCCTGCGTGACTGGGAACAAATCAGTTTCTCTGTGCTAATTGTTTAAATGCCTGCAAAGCTATTTATCTGGCAGACCAGGCAAAAACAAAACAACACAACCCCTCCCCCATTGAAATGTGGAAAAATGGTTTTACTGATACTTCGACAATATGGATCTCAACACAGAATCATAGAAATGAAGAGCTGGAAGTGACTGCCAGAGGTCATTTGGCCCAGCCCTCTGCTCAGTGGTGGGACCAAATACACCTACCCTATTCCAGCACTTAACTCTTTTCATTAGATGCTCTTCAGTTTGCCCATATCTTTCTTAAAGTATGGTTTCCAAAACTGGACCCAGTACTCCAGCTGAGGCCTCACCATTAGGGCAGGACAGTTACTTCCCGGGTCTTACATACAACACTCCTGTTAATAGATCCCAGAATGATATTAGCCTTTTTAGCAACTGCATCACATTGTTGGCTCATATTCAATTTGTTATCCACTGTAATCCCCAGATCCTTTTCAGCAGTGCTACGGCCTAGCTGGTTATTCTCCATTTTGTAGTTGTGCATTTAATTTTTTCTTTCTAAGTGTAATATTTTGCACGTGTCTCTACTGCTATTTCATCTTGTCAGTTTCAGACCAATTCTCCAATTTTTCCAGGTCCTTTTGAATTCTAATCCTGTCCTCCAAAGTGCTTGCAACAACCTCCCAGCTTGGTGTCATCTGCAAATTTTATAGGCATACTGTCCACCACATTATCCAAGCTAATGAAAATATAGTACTGGACCCTGACAGATCCTTGTGTGGCACCACTGGATATGTCCTTCCAGTTTGACAGTGAACCACTGATAACTATTTTTTGTGTGTGTTTTTTCAAGCAGTTTGTGCATCCATTTTATAGTAGTTTCCTCTAGACCACATTTCCCTATTTTGCTTATGAGAATGTCAAAAGCATTAATAAAATCTACATAAATCACTTCTGCTTCCTCATGTCTACTAGACCAGTAACCCTGTCAGAGAAGGAAATTTGGTTAGTTTGGCATGATTTTCACCTAGAGATTGGCTGTTTACCATCCAGTGAAGCTGAGCCACAAGCAAGTAGTACAGAGTGCAGTGCAATAGAAGACCTTTGTATGAAGAAACTAATCATATCATTGAGATGTCAGACAACTGTACAACTTACCATTATGCTGGAATTTCTGCTATGGAAAAATAGTTTGACAGAGTTGGAGAAATTCTATTATAAGATACCTGGAAAAGTAGGGCATTGAAAAGACCTTCATTAAAACAATGGCACATCAGCACCAATTTGTATATTATTCTTCCATGCACACAGTAACAAACATGGTCACAAAACACAGTAAAGGAATTTTTCAGAACCCTGGAATGAGATGACAAAAGTCTCAACATCAGTATAGAAAGATGAAATCATTTAAACTAGCAAGCAAATAGAAGTCACAAATGCTTAAGCTGGGACGCTCTAGTAGGCAATAAAGAAATGGCAATTAAAAAGTTCATTGATTAATCTAATACTGAAGTTAAACTAGAAAGATCATGACCAGTTCACTGACTGAAGTAGAAGTAAGGTAGCATCAAACGAGGAAACAATTGTCTTTATGTTTTGGGAACTGTAGATAGAAAATGTATTGTGGGATGAAAATACAAAATTCAGTTAAGTTTATTCATTTAAGAAGAATACTCTGCTACCCCTTCTGCTATAGTATTTCCATACTTGTTTGGTGAGGGAGGTTTGGTGAAAGATGTCATCAGTTTCAGAAGTACAATGATGTTTGCAAACAAATTATTTTTGCCCACTACAACCTTTCACCCATTAATAAATTTGTTCATTTAGTTATCTCTTGAGAGAAAATCAAACTTCTTTCAATAGAATTTCCAGTATTGAAAGTATTTCTCTTTTATTTTGCACCGCGACCCCCTTCTGACAACAAAAATTACTATATGACTCCGGGGGGGGGGCCCAAAGTCTGAGCCTGCCTGAGCCCCACTGTCTCAAGTGGGAAGGCCAAAGCTCAAGGGCTTCAGCCCAAGGTGGGGGGCCTGTAATCTGAGCCCCGACACCCAGGGCTGAAGCTATTGGGCTTGGTCTCAGGCTTCGGTCCTGGGACCCTGCAAATCTAACGCCAGCCCTGGCAACACCATTAAAATGGGGTTGCGACCCACTTTGAGGTCCTGACCCACAGTTTGAGAACCACTGCTCTAAAACATAGAAAAAAAAATCAATGACATCACATTTTGTTTTACAGTCTTTTGAAGCAAGACAAAAGGCCAGATCTTCAGCTGATGTAAATCACTGATTTACGCTAGTTGAGGATCTTGCACAGTATCTTTATTTTGTTAACCTTTAAACTTAAGACTTCTTATGCTGTCATCACTACCTGTGTACACGCTGTGCACCCATGCAAGGGTCAGGTTAGGCAGAATCTGGTCTTCAGGACCTATATTGTACTTTTAGGTAGAATATCCTCTAATGGCTAATTA